CCTGCGCCCCCTCCCCTCCCCCACCCTTCCTCCCGCCTCCCCACCCACCTCCCTCCTCCCTGCGCTTTTGTTTCAGTGACAGGGCGGGTGACGGGAGGCTCCTCGCGAAGGCATTTTCTCGTGCTTTGCTTCTGACTCCCTCAGAAAGGCGAGGAGAATAGTGAGGGGCAGAAAGAACGCGACTGGTGGGGGGGGGGGCGAGAGGCTCGAGAGGCAAAGGTGGGGTGGTTGGTGAGAGTCATGGGAGTTTTGGGGGGCGCAGTGTGTGCTTGTGGGTCTCCCCGGGAAGAGTTTGGGGAGAGGAGTGGAGTGCCGGGGGCGCATGGTCTGTGTCGTGCGTCCTTTGGAGAAAACCGAGCCGGCTTAGAAGAGAAGGTGCAGGGCGTCCGAGTGGGAGTTAGAGGTTCTGCCATCACCCCCCCCCCCCAGGCCAGTGAGCATAGCGGCATCTCCGTCTGGAACCTTCAGCAGGGCAGAGCGCCTCTGTGGCGGTGCGCCCCAAGGACCAGTTCTGGGGCGGTGGGAAGCTGGAAGGCACAGGATGCTCCCGGGTCAAGCGGAACTGATGGCCTTGTGCTAGCAGCCGGCTGGTGCGGCACGAGATGTTTCTTAGGCTCAAGGAAAGGATGAGTCCCTTCAACTGTCTGGGGTCTTTACTTTTCAAAACTTTCCTAATTGCGGCGCTGGAAGTGATTCCCTGGCGCCCACCGTCGAATCCAGTCAGCTGGCTGGGAGCTCTCCAACTTCCTTCAGCAGCGCCCTTTGGTGCGCGCTGAGGGTTTGGCAGCTGCGGTGCACCTAGATCGCCAGGGCTCCTCCGCCACCAGGGGCGGACATCCTGCTCTGGAACCGCAGGCTTTGGGAGGTCGTGTTCTGGACTTTTTTTTTTTTTTTTTTTTTTTTTTTTTTTTTTAATTTTTTTTTTCCCACCCCAGGGGAGGAGAGGGGGGAGGGGTGGTTTCTTAAGGAAATTTGGTTTCATCTGCCCTCCTGTCCCTTTTCAGAACTAGACTCCTCCGTGCTCTTGGCGACTATATATGGCTAGGAGATTTGGGGCCTGCATTCTACCTACTATTACAGTGTCGGTCTAGAACACCCTAATTAGCTTGTGGCCTTTAGGGAAACCCCTTTTTCTGGAAATTCAACCTCATTTCATTTCTTAGTCTAAAATTGTGGCGCTCCCAAGATTTACCTATTTAAAATGGATATGGGATGGGGGAGTTCTAGTTTTAAAAGGTCAAATCATCTTTTTAGCAGCAGTTTTGGGCTTTTTCTTGCACTCTCGGAGCATGTAAGTTAACACTAGTCATAAGTGCTAAAAGGAATTTTGACAGATCGTTTTGTTTCCTTTTCCTCCCAGAGTTTGCACTTTGCTCTTTAAGCATAAAAGCTCAGTAGAGAAAGCTGGTTGGTGGTGAAAAGAAATGTGAGCCCTGCTTTGCAATATGCCCGAGCACACTGTGTTCTTGGCTTTCTGGAAATGGGAGAAGTGGGGGACATATTATTTTGGGTGAATCATGCCATCTAAAAAGACACAACCTGAAAAGAGTGATTATATCTTTACACGTGTGTTTTAGAACTGTTTGTTTGGGTCTGTTTGAAACTCATTCTTTTCAGCCAAGTAACAGAATGCCTGGCTAGGGATGGGCATCCATCGCGTGCTCCTGGCCTCACCCTGAATGGGGAGGCAGTAACCTGGCTGGGGGCAGTCACAAAGCCTGAATCCCCTAGTAAAGGAAACTTTGAGGGACTTAGCAGAAACAGCTCCATGTTTCCCAAGACTATACAGGAGAGTCCTCTGTGGCTTAAGTCCCTTGTAAATCAGTAAGTACAAAATATATATATAACCAATTCCTTCCATAAAATACCTTGTACCAAAGAAGTCAAGTTGGCTGTAAACAGATATGATAGTGGAACTTCCTTGGATCTAGGGGAAGGTTGTCTACCTTGGAACCAATTTACACAGTCCTGAATCTCTTACAATATAGTCCCTTTACATACCCTACCGAATTCTTTCATTTGAGGTTTGGAAAGATTTTGTTTGTTTCATGTATCTTCTACTTTAAATACTTTAAGGTTGCTGGTTTCTATGTTGTGGGTGCAGGGAAGCAAGAACAGTCCCAAAGAAATCATAAATTGCATTATTATAGATCTATATCCAGAATTGACCTATCTCTTTGTGGTTGTAATAATTGCTATGTGTTTAGAGCCTAGATTTTACGGAGTCAGTTTCTACAGAATATTTATGCCCTGAAAACTTTGCCAATGCAAACTTTTTAATGGGATCTCAAATTACATGGAAGTCATTGTAGTCTGTTGGTTGGTTGTCTGTCTGCTTTAGGCAGCACCATGAGCAGCAGACACTGAAGCCTGGGTGTTCACTTCTATACAGTGTTCTGTCACAGAAGCATGGTACAGTGAAGTTTGAGTTAGCAGGGTGCCTTTTCAATATTTTGGAAAGAATTGTGCAATACTAAATCCACAACTAAAACAGCAAGAAACCACAAGTTCCAGAATTGAAAGAGAACATGCCTTTGTGGTTTAAATGTTGAACTTCCTCAAAAGAGGGAGAGCATAGGCCTTTTTATTAGCATACAAAGAATTAGGTTTCATGACAGCATTTTTCAAACAAAATTTTTGCTGTTGTTTCTCTTCACCCCACCCCCACCCCCAGTCCCCTTCCTTTCCTGTGTCCTTTGACCCCTGTAGCCTCCTTTCTGCTTTTCTGTTACATCTGACCTCTTGACCTTTCCCCTTTCTCAATAGTTCTTGTTCCCCTCTTGTAGCCTCCTACCTAGTTTCATAGTCTACACCCACTCTAACACATACCTCCATTTACCTACATACAAACTCCAGAATTTAGAATCTGCATATAGGAGAGAACATGAGAATTTGGGGAGGGGGTTGTTGTTGTAGTTGTTGCTGTTGGGGGGGTTGTTTTGTTTTTGTTTCTATCTTTCTGAGTCCCGGTCACCTTACTTTAATATGATTCTTTGTGGATGCATCTATTTTCTTGCAAATTTCATAATTGTATTTTTCTTTATGGTTAAGTAAAATCCCACTGGATATATGTGCCACGTTCTCATTCTCCATTCTTCTATTGGTGGGCTTCTGGGCTGGTTCCATTTCCTTCTTGTGAATAATGTAGCAACAAACATGGTTATGCAGATAGCTCTGTAGTTGGATATAGAATCCTTTGGGCATATGCCTAGGACTGATGTGGTAGTTCTATGGTATGGTGTGGTATGGTATGGTATTGTATAGTAGTTTATTTTAATTCCTTTTAGACAGCGCCATACTGGTTTCCATAACATATATTGGGTTTACACTCCCAATACTGAATAAGGGTTCCTCTTTCCCCATATCCCTGCCAGCATTTATTGTCATTTTTTCCCCCTTGATCATAGCCATTCCTATGGGAGTGGAATGAAATCCCAAAGTGGATTTAATTTCCGTTTTGAAGGGAAAGCTTCTAAAGGAATATTTTAAATCATTGATGGCCATGGTGCTGTAGTTTGAACTTGAACTCTAAGTGACTATGTGGAGCCACACTGGTGACTACTTGCCTCATTTCCTTATTTTTAACTTGGGTCTGGTGAATCTGGGTAATACAGTCTTCAGCAGAAGTTCAAAAATCTTCCTCCTCCATCAAGAAGAGTCACTGGTTTCTCACTCAGCCTGCAGTGAACACATACTTACCAAGTGCCCTAATACACAAGCACCACACAGGAAACAATGGGATCTGTAGTAGTCTCACTTCCTCACACCAGTACTGTAAAGCAAGAAAGAGAAGTGTCTGGAGAAGAGGAACCAGGAAGGGCTTTCTGAAGGTACAATGTTTCTAGTTGGTCGCTACAATATGGAGAAGCGAAGGGGAGGGGGGGGCAGGGGCAATTCCAAAACCGGAGGTTTAGGGGGAGAGGGAAAGAAAACATTTTAAACCCCAAGGACTAGGACATGTGGAATGTGCCCAGAGAACAGTAGTCTAATGGGGAGGTGGGGCCTATTGGGAGGCGTCACATAGCGTGTAGAAAAGGGAAAGTTAATGTCAGCTCTTCATCACCACAGGGTGTTCCGAGTTCTCTGTGACTTCTTCATACCTCTTGGGTGTCCAGCAGAGGCAGAAGAACAGCCCCAAGTGCTCAACACAACGCCCAAGAGATTTCCTGGGTGAGGTTTGAGCAGGAATGGAGCTCTCTTGCCAGGAATGGGTGAGGTGAAGCTGAGGTGATGAGGCGAAAGGCTGTGGCTAGAGAACCTCTCATCCATACTGTCTTCTCGGGCTGTAAAGGAAATCTTCCATGATCAGCTCAGACCTGCCAATCTGGAGAACTTTGGCTTGGGGGAAATTTAGGAGTCATATTTCACTCCTCACTTTCAAGAGAGAGTCTGCTGGCTCTCTACTTCATCATTGCTGCATCTGGTGAGCGTCTGATTAGCCTCTCACCTCTGAGACCTGTTCACTCCCATCCAAGCTGCTCCCATTCCATTGAGAAACCTACCCATTTTGAGTTTTTAATTTCCATGTTGTTAACTCCAATAGACCTGCTATTGAAAGGCACCTTCCCACGTGACCTACAGCTTTCTGCATCAGTTAACTACTCGTATTTTAGCTTCCATATTCTTTCCAGCTGTTATGGCCTCTGTCTCACCTTATAAATCTTACTCTATGTTATTCAAAATACATATTTCTTTTCTCATTCTGTGCTTTCTCTGGGTAATTCCATCCATCCCAATAGCACCAGATGCTCTCTCTGTCTCTCTGGTATGCAGCCAGGTATGTGTGTCTCTGTGCCTGACTGTTGGAAAGGTATCTCAGGCTTAAGATTTCCACACTTAAGTTATTTTCTGTTTACCTCTTTTGATGTTGTTGTTGTTGTTTAGTCTTTTGAGAAATATTGTACCTTGTATCCCTACATGGTCTGGCGCTCTCTGTGAGGCCCAAGCTAGCCTGGAATTCATGGCAATCCTCCTGCTTTGACCTCCTGCACACTGAGATTACAGGGCTTTCACCACACCCAGCTTTGCTCATAAATGTTTCATCTCCACTGAAGCATTCACCAAATTTCTGCATCCACAATCCTTGCTCCACTCCCTGAGTTACAACATGCTAAAACATCTCTGCATCATTCCAGATGGCCCTCCACACATCCAGTCTACGGTCAGACCTACTGACCCTGCTCTCCCTGTCTGTGATGCAGCCATTTCTCTCAGTGTATTGGTGGCTGCCACCTTGTACTTTCCACCTGAACTTGCCACTCGGTCCTACGTCCCCCACCTCACCCCACCCACCCCTGCTACACCAGTCTTTTCCTACGCAGCGGAGGCAGAGCAATACATTATAAACACAGGTGTTATTACTCTACTTCTTAAACTTTTTAGTAACTTTTGGCACAGAGGGTAAACAATGTATGAACCACTTCCCACTCTGGATTTCTGTTCTTAAGCCATGTCAGCCGTCCCCAGATCTTCAGCGGAACTGACTCTACAAAGCTCGAGCTTCGCCCCAGGCTGGCCTCTGTCTGAAATGCTCCTCCTGCCTACCCTGGTCTACCTAATTCCTGCTCATCATCATTCAAATCTCGGCTGCCCCTCAGAAGCCACCATTGACTTTACAGTTTCCGTGAGATTCTCCAGTTCTGCTCTCCCATAATGCCCTGTTCGTATACCTATGGCTAGGGGTGTGTAATGGTTCACTTAACTTGCTACACGTATCATGAAAGTAGATATTATGTCTGTTGTGTCCTCCATGAAAACTGCCCGGACCATAAAAGATATTCAGAAAGCATGTGATATCGTTAAGTACATGAGCCATTTTTATCACTTTAAATCACCAGTGTCAACAGATCATGTCCCCTCAAAATTAGCTATTCGTGAGAACCTTCAGCCTAATCCACAAAACTCTGGACAACCCAGGGAATGCTTGACACTAACACCCTGCTTAACTGCCCCGTGCTTTGGTGTCCATTTTGTTCTGCTAGACCTCACGGAGAGGTTTGCTTCTCAGTATGTGGCTTGTATATTTCACTTCCTCCATCTCCCGTATGTGTCCTGCTCATCACTTGTCAAAGCGTGACTCTCATGTCACCTACCTGCTTTAAAGTGGCAGTCAGTGCCCACTCAAAGAAGCAGTGGTGTAGAAACCCTGGATCCTTTGTTCCACCTGAACCTGTGATCCTGTAAATCCCAGGATTTGTGGGAATGATGGCATAAAGGTCATGCCTGGTTGAGCCGTGTCCCCCTTAGCTAGTGCTTGCTTTTTCTGTTACAGGACATACGCCGCTGTGTGCACAGGGTGGTTTAGAGGGTGGCCCTCACTGAAGGCATTGCCTTCTTTTGGGATTTTGCTATTCAAAACCAGATCAGCCGTTTGTCAGAGGAATCTAGTGAGTCTCCATGCTGCTGGACCATTACCCATGATCCCTTCCCATTACAGTCTCATCGGGAGGCTCATGAAACACTGGGGACCCTAGTCTAGAGCATCAGGTGGAAAACAAGAACCAATTCCCTGCTGCATGTCCTGAGTGCCCTTGAAGGGGAGATGGCCTAGCCCTTCTCCTCTAATCTCCTCCATCTCTGCAAAAGAGGAGCAGCAGAGGATTAACTGGTTTTATCAGCAAAGCATTAAGCTCACTGGAGATAAAGCACAACTCCCAAAGGGATGGAGAGTACACACATGATTAGGGGAAAGGTAGAAGGAAGGAAACAAGATGTGCTTTGTGCTGGGTGCCAGACTGTGGCTGCTGCATGGGCATGGTGGGAAAGGGGGAAGCAGGGAGAGGGTAACTTGAGGGCACTGGACTGCAGGATACAAATGACCTGCCACTGGGCAGCAGGAGTACATGAAGTCTTTTGGGGCAGGTCGGAAGAGGCATCAGGTTCCCTCTTTCCATCTCCTTCTCTTGACTACATTGTTGCATTAGGAAAAGTTGCCAGGGATGACAGGGGCCACTGTTTCTGTTAACTCTAAGCAGGAAGTGGCTACAGTTTAGAAGTTGTTATTTATGGACCCCTTTAGGAAGAAAAAACAATAGGAAATAAGCAGAAGAGCATCTGGGTGAATACTTAGAGAGGGGAAGAGCTCACTTAGAGCTGAGAGTCGCTGGGAGGGAGGGGCTGGAGGCTGAACTCCAACAGCAGAGATACAATGTAAAGTTACAAAGCATCCACGGAGGTGTCATGGGGGTACATTGCCGCTTGTATTCTTACAGGTTCAAATCAGTATGATGTTTAAGGACTGGTTCCATAGTTGTGATGGATTTCAGTACAAAGCAGGTGATGACATGTGTGGGGAGAATTGTCCACATGAAGGAATGCCTGGAAAATCTGGGTGGCTTTGCTTGAGAAGGGAAGGATCACAAAATAACACATGTTCTACATGTTAGAGGCCTGTGAATGTGCCACGATGCCGAGTGCCCTTCATATGTAGCCTCATGGAAACCTTACCCTGAAAAGGAGGGTCTCCTAGTAAGGTTCCGGGAGGTTCACCAACCTGCCCGAGGCTTCATAGCCAGCAGGAGGCCCATCCAGGAAGCAAGCCTGTGTTCCCTGGCCCCTCCATTTCTAAAGGGCCACTTTGCCCTCCAGGAAGGAGGTTCTCCAGACTTGCTCTGCTAAATAAAAATAATGAACTTAGTCTTGTTGTTTTTACTGATTTGTGCATTTCCTGGATGGTTTGTGCATTTCCTCAATTTTTTGGAATTGACTTCAGAGAGGAAACCTCTTTGAGTCTCCACCTCATGCTCGCCCCCTCCCAGAGAGAAAGTTGTGATTAACAGTAAGAAAATCGTGTCTTTGTAGGAGGGTGGGATCAAAAACAGTAGGGACTGAGCAGTATCCATGCCAGAGCTCATTTTCTGGGAACAGAGACATCATCTCCAGCTCCCAGACTCCTCACAGTGGCCCAGCTGCACATTTTAGCTCTGGGGAGTGTTTTCTGGTGACTCTACCCTTAGACATTCAGACATGTTTCTGGCTCCTGCAATTCTTGGGCTATTCCTTTCATTAAAGCCCATCAGACCAGTGCTAGTGGGTGGACCCTGCTTCTAATTAACTTCTGGGAGACACACCAATTGCACTTATTCACCATGCCAGTTGAAGATCTAGCTGCTGGCTCCCCAGCACAGAGCCCGAGTCAGAAGAACTGGGTTCCAGTGCCAGCTCTGAGACCTTTGGCAGGGTCCTCAAAGTTCAGTGTCTAGTCTGCCCGTACATAAATGAGCAATCATGTCTAGAGTTAGGAAGCAGCTGAAATGAAAACTGTGAGGAGGCATTCCAAACAGTGATGTGCTGTGTACACGTTAGTCTGGTTATTATAGAGCTTATCGGTTAGTGTTACTATTTGGTGACTCCAGAAAACCCTTAAGGAACTGTGGCCCTGTGTCCTCCCTTGGCAGAGAGTCACTCAGACCTTCAAGGGGATCCCTGACATGGCAGCTGCCCAACAATTCTCTCCAGATCTAGAGGAGAGGGGAAAGATACATTTCGTACCTTGAAGGCCATGTTTTCCACTCATGTAGAGAGGAAAGAGGGGGAGGCACCGCCATTCCATCACCACCATGACACTTCCCAGCTGTGCTCTGGGCTGCACTCAGGACTGTGCTTTGAATTCCTGAAGCTTAGTCACATCCTCAAGGGTACCACCTGCCCTACCTGGAACCCTCCCTTGATCACAGTATCACTTATGTTTAAGAAGTTACAGTGTACACCATGCAAGGAGTTAGGGACAGTGCCCTGCTTTTCATAGCCTATAAAATCACAGGGTTTCCATTTTAGAGAAGACAGAAACCAGCATTTGAAATCATTTATATCCAAAACAATTTTTAATATTCTTCATTCTTTCCAAACCCTTTGCACAATTTCATCTCTCTGAAGGGGATGTCCCATAATTAATCTTACAATAATCACAAAACAGATTTTAGGACAACAGTTATTCCCTATTTTAGACAAGCAAGTAGAGGCTCAAGGAGATTCAATAATGTGTCCAATGTCATCTTGGCAAGTGCTGGTGGAATCAGGCCCGGTGTGTGATCCCCCCACTCCCTTCCCCAGTGTCCTCCCACAAGTACACAGGAGTTAGGCTTGGGAGAAACTGTCATCAGAGCTATGTGTATGTGTGTTGCTTGTTGTGGGCATGTTTGGAGACATCATTTATAGCCTCTGAAAACCAGAGAGCAGAAAACAGGAACATCTAAATGTGTTCAGCAATCTCAATGAGAAATTTCAGGCTGTCAGATAAACACAGAGTAAATAAGGTTGTCTGATGGTCTGACGGTCCATGAGGTCCATGAGTGGGGTGACTGTGTCAGTCCTGTCTCTGGAGCCTCCACTGGCTTAACCTCCTGGGGCCTGACCTTCCCCAGCTGGCTTGTGAACCTCTGTCAGGCCACAGCACTCAAAGGCCATCAGAGGTCTGGCTAATGGGAAACAGTAAATCGACATTCTCAGTCAGCAGCCACAGCAGCATCCTGAAGGGGCAGACAGGCCAGGGCTGCCAGGGAGTGAGTAGTGTGGGGAACAGGCTCTGGCAAAGCTGAGAGCCACCAGAAACCGGTAAATTAGATCTTGCCCTCTGCCATGGGGGTGGGGGGAGGGATGTCAGGAACTGGATATGTGAAGAGGGAGAAGCTTCAAAGGATGCAGAGTGCTGGTTCTGTGAGGAAACAGGATCAGACTCGCTCATTCCTTTTTTTTTAACCATGAGAGTCATACCATGAGTCTCCATTCCAAAATGGCAGCCTCCACGCCTGAGTTAGGAAAATCAACTCAAGAACTGATTGTTTTAAGTGACTCAACTCTTCCAAATTTCCATGAACCATCTTCACATTGTTTAGAGATAAACCCAAAGCTCCTGCTGAAGATATCTTCTTGGCCTTTGGAACCACGGAGCCAGTCTTTTATATAGACACCTGTACACTTTGAGTGATTGACAGGTATCTACTTAGCATGTATCCCTGTGCAACCATAACCAACTTACCCAACTTAATGATTACAAAGCTATTTGTTTAAGGCTTAAATACTGTCAAGTGTTTTGTATGCATTGCCTCTGAAGTAGGTACCGCCATTGTTTTCCTCCAGTATAAAATAATGAAATAGGAATAAAGAGGTTTGTCATGTCTAGCATTAGGCAACTAATAAAAAGGGCAGATTTAGGAACAGATAATTATAATGACTGTGATGAGCTGCCTCAGAAGAGTTGAATAAATGGGTGGATAGATTGGATGGACGTTCGGACAGACGGACGGACGGACGGACAGACAGATGGACGGATGAGTAAATGGGTGAATGGTTGAATGAACATTGGATATTCTGGACATCGTCTCATTACTTGCTTTTGTCCTTGTGAGGAAACCAGGGAAACAAAAGGTTTAATCCTAGTGTTCTCACCTCCCAGCTGCCTAATCCATCCAGCTGGTCAGGATCTGGTGCTAATGAGACCAAGGTCTTAGGAAGAGACCCAAGAATGAATGTGAGCAACTGAGTCAGTACTCTTTGCCCTTCCAGCTCCCTCACCAGTAACTGTGCCCAGCCATCTCTGGTTCATAGCAAGTGAACTGACAGTGAGGTAGCTAGAAAACATGAAAGTGATGGTTCAGCAGAATCTTCTTTGCCTCCCCAGATGGTAAATTATATGACCGGAAGCACACTTTGCAGACATGCACACTGAGGCCCAGAGAGGAGCAGGGTGAGAATGCGTGTGTGTGTGTGTGAGTGAATGGCAGAGCCAGGATTCAGGCCCAGGTCTATCTGATGCCATTGCTAATGTTTCCCAACCCTGGGCTCTTCCCACTGCCTTACTCTGTGGGTCAAGGATGCAAACATTCCTAATCTTTTAGTTTGAAAATCAGTAAACGGGTTTTTAACCTTCTAATTTTAGACACACACACACACACACACACACACACACTCTTGTTTGCTGAGAGTCTGGTCAGCTGCAGAAGCAATCACCTGTATCAGAGAGGAAGCAGACAGAACATAGGAAGAGTCAAGTCCCTTGGCAGCACAGAAGGAAACTCAGATCAGCCCAAGGGATGTCTGTACAATTGCCAGGAGCAGAGACCAGCCCATCGCCAGTGTCTGTACACAGTGATTAGCAAGCTAGAAAGGAGAGGGTCTCCCCAGAGATACCCATCACAGATGGCAGGAAATAGGAGGCCCTGGCAGCCAAGAGAGACTGGACGGGTGGAGAAACTAGGATTCAGCTGGGATGCCCAGCAACTCAGAACCCCTGTTCTCCAGCCTCCCCACACCTACCCCACCCATCCCAGGTGCTGATGGCAAGCTTGCTCCTCCTGGCTCCCTGCCCACAGACAGGCATGGTGTCTTCATGTCCCCTGGCAGCTCCAACAGAAACAAGATCCAAGTGGTGTCAAAGATGACAGATTGTGAGGGGGCCAAGGGCCCTCCTCTGACAGCAGGGCTCAGCTGGGAGGCCCTGGAGAGCACAACAGATGGGGGGAGTCTGACAGGGATATCCTAGCAGCCTGGGGACTCTGTCTCTGTTGTGGCTTTTAGTTGGGTTTCATTCATTTTTTTTAACATTTTCTTTTTATGTTAAGGGCTTTTAGCACAGGAACCTATTACTGCTGTGTCTGCTTATTCTAATGCAGGAGGGCTGGGAGGGAACAGGGGAGAACGGGTCTATGCCACTCTGCTGCACTGTGGTCTTTTGGGGACCTAAGGTGAGTGTAGAGGAACTACCCTTTGGAGGGGAAAGTGCAGACCTCCCAGCAGATGTCACAACCCTGTCATCTGTACCTTTCCAGACCACATCTCCCACGGACCCTAGAAATCCAGGGCCATGTCAGGTGATCTGCCTCCCTTTCTCGGCCCTATTCCAGCCTTAGATCCACTCTCAAAGCCTGTCACTTGTTAGCATTTGCTGCCATGCGCCTGCTTGCCTGCTTTTTGTTGATGGTTTGGTTTGGTTTGGTTTTGGATTTATTTACTTATGTATTTTATATACATGAATGCTCTATCTTCATGCACACCAGAAGAGGGTATCAGATCCCATTACAGATGGTTGTGAGCCACCATGTGGGTACTGGGAATTGAACTCAGGACCTCTGGAAGAGCAGCCAGTGCTCTTAACCTCTGTGCCATCTCTCCAGCCCCTCATGCTTGTTTTTTTGTCAAGATCTGCTTGATGTGTTTTGTGTGTGTGTGTGTGTGTGTGTGTGTGTGTGTGTCGAAACTTCTGTCTCGTTCCTACCTACTGCTTTCTTTGGGCCTGCCACCTTTTCAGACTGTTAGGCCTCATTTGATGGGTCTTTTGAATCCTCTGACTTTTAACTGGTTCCCTCCCTTGGGCTCACCCACCTGAAGTTAAGAAATAAATTCAGAGGGGGCTACAACCGGAGCAGCAATACTATACACCCTAAAAGCAGGAACTCCCAACCTTCTGGGAGCCCATGAACTACTGAGTCCTCCATGGTCCCTCACAGCCTTGGTGGGCAGCTTCTTTCCAGAAGAAGAAAACCACTCCTGGATGCTCTTTAAAGAAATTTACCTTTGAAACTATAACTGTGAATCCCACAGATGGGACCATGGTGTTGAGGAGTCAGAGTAGGAAGGGTTTGGAATCTAAGGAGAATGCAGAGAGGAGGAGGTGTATTAAGCCAACCTTTAAGAACCAA